CAATCCACCCCATCAGATGATAAGAAATCTATAAAGCTCAGATTGCTTTATAATCTGTCTATCACATAGGACTCAATAACCCAAGCTGTATTATTTGCTTTGCTTGCTTTAGCTCTACCTATAAAATTATATTTCTGGATTTCATATGATTGAAAATAAATGTGATAAAACCCAAGGCTTAGGCTGATTATGTAAATATTGATTGGAGGCTTTGGCCAAGGAGTCTCCTGACTGTTTTCATTTGAAGTACACACAAGAATCCGGTGATGATCACACTTGCTAATGAGTAAGTGACAAACTAAAGAAGTGTCTTCAGAAATCTAAGAGTAAGTTAATTAAAGGTCGAATCCAGAGGAAGTCACTGTAGCTGTCAAGATCTATTTCCTCCAGCTTGCAGCTGAGAAACAGCAGGAATAAAGAGAATATATTCGGAAACATGCATAAGAAAAGAATGCAGTTTCTCAGATTTTCAAACAATGACCCATCTGCTTCCAACACATTGACTATTAACAAGCAATTCCCAGTCCATTACTTTAGCCAATATGTGCCAGGGGCCTGCAAAGCAGTGGGCACTGTGGAACTGTCAGCACATCAGCACAGATGAGAACAGATGACTGCACTGACCATCATCGAGGTAGCAGGACTTTCCTGTAAGTCAGGGACTGTTTTTATTTTTAAGATTAGGAAACATTAGAAGGCTGAGGGAAAATGTGCTTAGAATTACGTTTACCACAAACATCATACTCTTTTCTTTCTAACGCAAAAGAGGCAATGTTCCTTCATTTAAAAAAATAGTAAGACATTTCATTGGCATCCTCGGTTGCCATGGTGACAAAATGACAAAAGGCCTTCATGTGCTTTCATGATGTATCAGTAATAAGCTAAGCATTTGGGAGCGAATGCATTCTCTTCAGACATGTCTTTTGAGCAGAAATACTGTATGTTTTTATTAACTCATGAAGGAGGTGCTATTCATGCACTTCTTAATGTAACAATTATTAAATAAGTTGGGTGTTTTTTTAAAGAAATGAAGCAAGAGGAGATAAAGCAAAGATTCGATTTAGTCGCATTTTCTCTATTTCTGCTCTATTAAATTTTCCTTTACAAGAGTGGTCCAGAAGACATAAAGAATGAAATACATAAACCATAATTTGAATAATAAGATTTATTGAACTTTTCTAAACACCACTCAGGAACGTCCCAACCAAATTTAGAAGGTCAATAAAAGGTGAGCTTCAACTTTAGCTGTTGATGAATCGTCTGTACTTCCTCTTTTATCCTCTCTAGCTTCCACCCTATTCCTAATGCTAGGTGATTATTTGTTATTACTGTTGAGTCTTACTTCACAGTCACTCCCCTATTCATAATCTTTTGAATTGGGAAAGTAACTATACTTATTTCAGCATAAAACTGAGGTCATTACCTGCTAGATGAAATTCAGCTGAACAATTTCTGCAGTCTAGATATTAATTACCTTTACCTACATATTAACCATCATGAGTACTTCATTACATTTTAGATTATTTGCTTGATTTTTAGAATCATATTTCTTTTCAAAGGAATGATCATAGATCACCAATTGCTTTCTTCTTTAGCCAATTGCCTTTTCTTTCTGGTGCCAATTGAATTACCACCAACTAATATATATTTTTCTTGGGCACATAAATCTAAAATTAGCTTTTTGACTTTTGTTGTTGAAGGTCTTGTGTCTTGCAACCTAGTCCATAGGCTTTCCTGTTCTTACCAGTAAGTATCAGTCTAACAAAACACAAAGGACCCTCATAAGTATAAACCAGGTGTCCCACATATTAGTATGTATTTCAAGGGAATACAGTTATATCTCAACATATATTTCTTTACACCCAGACCATGAAAGGGTACTCTGTGTCTTTTATCATAATTTTTTTCTTTTTAAGAAGTGTTAGGCTAAATGGAAATGAATTCATTTAAAACTTTGATTATAATAGATTTCAAAGTTATTGTATTTTGGTAGTAGTGCTATCAACAATGTTATTGTATTATTGTTAGTAGTGCCATTAATATTATAAAGAGGAATGGAGCACTGGCCCAAGCACAGAAAGGTTGAGGGTTCAATTCCTGGTCAAAGGCACATGCCTAGGTTGTAGGTTTGATCCCCACCCAGGTTGGAGCAGGTGCAGGAAGCAACCAATCGACGTGTTACTCTCACATTGATGTCTCTCTCTCTCTCTCTCTCTCTCTCTCTCTCTCTCTCTCTCTCTCTCTCTCCCCCTCTCCACCCCACTTTTCCTCTCTCTAAAAATCAATGGAAAAAATCTCAGGTGAGGATTAAGAAAAAAAAATAAACTTTGACATGAGAAAGGATTTGCCTTAGCAAGATGGATGTATGTTTCCAATTAAGGGTGAGATAATGAAGATAATAGAGGCAAAACTTAGGAAAATTTAGGAAATTTGATTTCAGATTATCTTCTACTCCACCAAAAAGAAAATGAACTATTATCTCCTACTGAAGAAGCTGAAGAAGTTGAGTATTAGAAAACCATTGGCATTGTGACACAGAAGGAAGAAGACATACAAAGGATTACCATGCATTAAGTAGAATCAGACTGACATTAGATAATCTGAATTTGTAGGTTACATGTCAGTGAAAGTTTATGGTTTTCTGTAGCAATTGCAGTCTATGAATGAAATAGCTAATAAACGTGGGGGCTTATTAAGAGTCTGGAAATGGTGAAGGTGAACTAATAGAAAGAAGAGAGTCTAGGTTGTTCTCAGTCCCTTAGTTGGTTAGAGAGGCAAATGAAGCCAAATTTGGGGAATATCAGGAGAGTTTAAGGGACTGGAGGTTTTAATTAGAAAGAAGAACAACATGAGAAAAGAGGATGGAAGATGGATATGAAAGCTAATAATTGCAGCATTTGAGATTATAGTGTAGAAGTTCTTCAAGCAGTAATGAAATAGGTTAAATAGGCAGTCAACATCAAGCAGGTCAACAGTCATAGGTGGTACTATTGCAGCCACTGGGAGTCCATCTCCAATGCAAGAACTCAGTCACGTTGCCTCGAGGTACAAGGTGAAGATGGAAACCACCCAGTGAGCCCCAGTACTGATGGTCCTCCCAGAAAGAGAACAACCACAAATGTGTTCCCTAGAATTTAGCACCAGTGGTAACTCAAGTCAAGTCAGGAGCCCTGGAAACTGCCCTTAAGCATGTGGTCGGTCCTGTGCTCACATTGTGCTGGGAATGCGTTACCACACTGCAAGAAGTTAATTAATCAGAGCATGCAGCTTCTGAAATATGCAGATAAATTAGGCAGGAAAATTGAAACTTTTCTATGTGATTTTTCTTAATGACTAGAGTGTGTTCTAAATAGAGAGAAAAACAAATTGATTGCCCAAAACCACGATAAGCACTTTTAATTCACAAGGGTTAAGCACATCAAAGTCAGGATATTGAAAGTGAAGGTTCTCATAGAAACATTAATTTGACAACATTATGCATACTCGGTGTGGGAGGTTTATATTTAATAGAATAAAAACAGTAGGAAATGTTGCAAAATGTGACTCAGTTAAACAAATTAAAAAACAAATTCAGGGAAAGTCATTAAACATGATTATGGAAAACAGAAAACGCCTTCAAATCTTTAAAAACCAGTTTTCAATGGATATTATTAATTTTTACCACGAATCAATTTTCCTTAGCACATTGCATACTCTGACATTAGTCAATGCCTCTCATTTGCAGTTCAGATTTGATTCTAACAGCAAAAGGAGAGCTTACTGGCTATTTTCATGGTTTAGTTGATAAAGGTTTCGGAAAGTGGAACTAAAAAATACGGGTTTGAAATGCTTTTTGTTTAGTATATAGAGAATATGGCAGAGATTTTAGTAAAATACTACCAATGTACTATTACCTTGTTTATATATTTGCCTTCTGCATACTATTCTCAGGTATGTGTTATGCAAATTCCAGTCTGACCATGCAAAATGTCTTATGTTGGTGGCATTGAAAAAGAAAAGAAGCTTAGGGAATGTTTAAGGAAGGACACGTGCCAGGAAACAAACCCACAGCCTTTACTGTGTCTGCATTTTGGTTCCTGCCTCTTGAACTGGACAGCAGGTCTGGAAGCCTGTGTTCTCCAGTGCAGCTGTCCTGAGCCACAGGCTGTCCATCCTGTCAGGCTGTCCACATATGCTCCATTCACTTTATAGGTGACACAAGACACGGGAGTGTTGGACCCACGCAGTAACCTCGGGGAGCATGTCACCTCTCAATTCAGTCAGAATTAAAGGCAAGAAGGAAGGAAGGAAAGAAGGAAGGAAGGAAGGAAGGAAGGAAGGAAGGAAGGAAGGAAGGAAGGAAGGAAGGAAGGAAGGAAGAAAGGAAGAAAATGGGGAAGAAAGGGAGGGAGGGAGGAAGGAAGGAAATTGTGTTATGAGCATTACAACACTAACCCAATTCTAATTATGACTCAATTCTAATTATTTAATTATTTAATTTTAAGTAACAATGATTTTGTGATTCTTTAGATCACATATAAGTTTTTTGGTGTAAAATTAACAAGAGAAAGCAGTCCCATTTCCTAAAAATTGACATTTTGCTAACATTTCTGTTTTCTATTGTATTTTATGTCATAGCAAAGCAGTTTACAGAACAATGGAGGTCCATTCATAGAAATGAGATATGTAAATTCCAGAGCTAGCAGGCTCTTGGCCCAGCATTCAAACCACCTCTTCAAAAAAGCCACAATGGTCTGCCTTTTTTTCACTGAAAAATCCTTGAACCCACATTTCAAGGCAATGGACTCTTTATACATGTGATGAAGAACATGCTTTGTATATTTACTTTAATCTTTAACCCCTGATCTTTTCTGTTTTCAAACAAACAGAAGGACAAATGCAAACTGTGAACTAGCAGGATGTACAAACAAGTCTTATTGAATATTCAGAAGTATGCTGGTATTTCTAAAGTTCAACAATACACCACTTAAAGTCTTTCATTTTTAATTTTCCTTATTCAGGCACTACAAGGCCACATAAGGAGGGCGAGGTCCCCGGAGTGGACTATATCTTCATCACTGTTGAAGATTTTATGGAATTAGAGAAAAGTGGTGCTCTCCTAGAAAGTGGGACTTACGAAGGTAAGCAAACTCTACTGCTATATCTATTCCTTGTGGCATCAGTTTTTCCTCTCAACTTCATTAAAATACCAGGTTACCAATGTGCTACTGTTTGCGGATTGAAAGCTTTAATAAGGTCGTTTTAGAAATCTATTTCCTAAAGGAAGGCTAAAATACATCTGAATTAATTCTACTCTTAAAATGCCAAGAGAAATGTATGTATCCACTGAAGTATCTGTGATTTCCTCCTGAGGCTACGTTGTGATCTTGCAGACAAATTATCTTCGTATCCAGGTAGCAACTAAAATAGCACAGGGCTTGGGTTCAAGTCCTGTCATGATCTCTCCAGTTTTCTCCAGTTACTTCACTTAACTGGTCTTCATTTCCCTCCCATGCAGAATGATGGAGGGGGAAATAATCCTGTGGATCCACTCAAAGTTCTAGCACAATCGCAGGTCCCCTGGTGCAGCTGAGTCAGACAAGAACAACAGATGAAATTGAAACCTTGAATGTGGAAAGTAGGTTTCCATGGAAAGAGCACTGTAACATGAGCCATGATCTGCCTTATTATTTACCCACTATAGGTATTATGTGACTCAGTTAGTATCTCTGGCCCTCAGTAGTCTTAGATGTAAAAAGGGAATGATAAAATTGAAACATCAAATAAATAACACATAACAAATTTAAACATTTAAATAACACCTGCATGCATATAGTTTATGTCTAATGAAATTATGTGTCTGTGTATGCATAACGAGATTTTAAAATAATAAAACAAAAAAACCAGTGGAAAATAATACTTTCATTCCATCTTTACAGTTCTTATATGTGTAAATTATACTTATATGTATTATTAAGTCTAAAGATGAATCTAGTTTACTGAACTGCAATTAATAGTGAGTGATATTATAAACAAAACTCATAACGTGTACACTGCTGCTTAGCCCATAAAATATCTGAGGTCTACCATCAGCAAATAAGCTGGGTTTGTGAATAGTTAGGGTCTCCACTACCTCCTTCATTTATCTGCAGAGATCCAGGAGACTATAGTTATTTAAGAACTCAATATTTTTAAGTTGCTAAAAGTATTAAAAACTCTTTTTTATTTTTAATTCACACTCCTCAGACAGTTTAGGCTGAGACATTTAGTTGTTTATTGCCAAATTACATGATATAGGCAAAAATACCAATGGAGAGAAAATGGTTTTATACACGAGTCTTGTTTCTTCTTCAGATAGTCAAAAATAAATGATAGTGGAGACTGATTGAAAATATTTTAAATAAAGAAGTTGTGTTAATCATATAAGCCTGCCTTGAATTATGCCTGAAAAAATAATGGTCTAACTTATAGAAAATCATTATATGAAGAAGTCAGTAACAAGCAAAAAGTTTTATAGCGTATTTTCCTATGGGGTTTGCAACATTATTTAGTGGCATTCATTAGGCTGCATATTTGCAAAAATAATGTATTACATTTAATTACATTAGCTAGATATAATATTTACATAGCAAAGAACCAATGTCTTAACAAACAGAAGCATGCCAAGAGTAGAATGATTAACAATATGACCTTTTCTCTGGTTTTAAAAATAAAAACTGTATCAACTGTATAAAAGGTGAAACTATTAAACCAAATATTCATTTTAAATTCATTCTAATATTCTCATGATGAATTAGATGTCATGAAGTTTAATATCAATATATTTAAATATATAGTCTAGCTTAAATTTTAGATTCCAGTTGAATATCCTGAAACCACACAAACATAACCAATTTATGAGCCCCAGAGTGGGTTGTCCTAAATCTTCTTCAGCGTTCTTTTCAGCATTGACAGTACTTTGCTCAGTTTGGTGCCAACTTGAATTACCCCAGCATTGGGGTAATCAGAGCTGATCAGTGAGTAATAAGGCTGAGTTACATACATGACTTTGGGGAATCAATATCATTATTTACAAATTATGTACTTGGATAAATAAAAAGCTCTTTTCTCAGGTCACATAACTATCTGGATGGACACCTAGGGTGCGTTCTCCAATCTCAGAATCTCCACATCTTCCTACAATTATAGTTGAGAAACTAGTGGAATTGACATTCTAATAAAAATTACTGCCATTCCTTCTGAATTGATCCTGAGCTCTAGATTCAGGGCTAACCCTTAATGTATTATTTGTCAAGGAAAACTAGGGAATACCTTATCTACTTTGGTGCTCTCAGACTGTAAAGAATAACAATCATCTGCTACTGAACTAAACAAATACCCTAGAACTTTTATATTTGTCACTCCTTCATGACATCAATCTCTCATAAGATTTCTGCAATAAAATCCCAGTTGTTCTATATTATATGTTCTTCCTTCTTCAGTGGTAGGGCCATTGCTCCCTTCTCTCCTAGTACTGGAATATTCTCATGCCTTCTTAGTACTCTTTAAAGCTCTCAAAAGATAAGAAAATTAATCTTTAATATTTGTGAATCCACCAAAAAAAGAAATCAAGAAGGTATTGAATTACTCTAAGCATCAAAGTAACAGACTTGTGAACCATGTGGGGCCCTTAAGACTGATTCCAACCCACAAACCAAAACAGCAAAGCTGCTAATGCTGCAATTGGAGGTAGGGAGAAATCCCCTGCTTCTTTTTGCCTATAATGCTTGCCAACTTGGAGTATTTCTTTTTGGGAACTGGGCACCCATTCATTTTTCATTAGCAAGATAAAGAAAGACTTGTATAAAAAGTCTGGTTAAGTTGCTCGTAACTGAGAAAACCATTCTTATGATTTTTTCTGTGCTTCACCTCACCATTCAGTTTCAGAACAGAAAACACTCATCAGAAAAGTAGTTATGAAGAAGAATATATTCTTTTAAGCATTTTTCATATGTATACATTTTGTCTCATTGTCAACAATTCTAATTTTAATCTTGGTGAATAGATGTAGCTAAATGGCATTTGTTTTTTGATTAGAAATCAGATGGACTGTCCTGAATTACAGTTATCCCTTGTAGAAATTGACTCAAAGTCCTCGCTTCAAAGGAGCAATTCCGTCACTTACCAGAGGCTGCAGGGAAGACCTTAATGTGCTTGCGTTACCATCTACAGTTATGCCCTATGGCCCTAGGCAGAACTTGAGCAGATTCTTAGAGCCTTTTTCTGCACCACCAACCCCTGACCCAGGCGGTGCACCTCATTTCAGCAGCTATGAAACAGCTGTTGAATGGCCTTGCATGTCAATGGCCCAGAGGCCTTGGCTCTGAAGGACCAGGTATTGGTAAAGAGACGCTTTTCCATACCTTGGATGATCACTTGTTCACCTTTTTATATTCAGTCAAGTTTAAAAGTAAGTTACTAGAACAAGGCCCAGTGGCAAGCCTGTCATAACCCCAGGTAACATGCACATTATGAACCTTCATGCCAGGACTGAAGTTGTAAACACATGTGAAACACAGATCACAGAGTTCTTTGGATGAATGAGATCATCCCTTTGGGATTAAGGTCACATGCAGGCATAAGTGAGACACCAAGAGGGAGCATTAAATGAGTAGGTCTGGTTACCTAAACGTTAAGTACTCTACCTGGAAGTATGCCTGTCTTTAGGAACTGTCCGAAGTTCTGAATTTCCCAGGGTTTAATCAGCGCGTTCTGCCTGACATTTCTTCCCATTATCTGGAATGCTGATTCATGGTTTCACTGAGCACTCGCACCAGTTGTCTGCCTCAACCTGTGTCCTGAATATTGTCAGTAACTACCCTCAGGTCCCATGAGTGTGCCTGGACTCTCGTTTCTTTTAATTCATGTCCTAAGATCATCCACAATCATGTTTCAGAGTAGTGCTTCTGTAGTTTTTCTATCTATTAAGGAAGTTACTAACCCTAAAACAAAATGTTTCTTTTAAATGGATATAAGCTCACTTGTAACCCTGCCCCAACTTTTGAGAGAACCAAATCAAGACCAGCAAGTTATTTTGGGCATCTGACAGAAGATAGCAAAAATATGGCACTCACCTTCATCTTAATTGCTGTGGCTTCTCCTACTCATGGACCCTCATATCTATGGACTCCAGCCTACTGCAAACAGCTTACCTTAATGACGTAAACGATTTTATTACAAGGACTGTGAAATTCAAGTTTTTTCACATCTGTACATAAAAGTGTGCTGTTCTAACTGAGATAGCACATACATTTTTATAAAAATTTAACTATCAAGTACAAATAATTTTCTCGAAAAACAAGCCAGACACCCTTATGATGAGAGAAGAGATATAACAAATTTTACAAAAAATTATTTTATTTTAATAACTAAATTTAATATCAGCTTTTTTTAACATCAACTTGACATGTTTATTATTGAAGTTTTGAATCTATTCCCAACTAAGCATTGAGTGATAAAGAGATATTCAATCCGAAGAGAAATCATTATTGGTACTACAAATATCCTTGAGAAAAACCATTCTTCTTCTATCAGTCCAAGTTTCTACCCACTGAAATGTAAATAATACTACCTGAAGAGCAGATCAATGCTTTCACTGATGTTAACGTTGTTGTCATTGCAGGAAGCCAAAATGAAATAGCATTTCCTTTTTTGCCTTTTCCTTATACCCTATTAGAAGAGAACATTTTTACTATGTAAGTAATGACCTCCATAACAACAGTAGACTATTGGAGTTTATAGTTAAAAGGGTCCAGCTGTTACTTTATTCCAAGATTGAAACATTTTTTTTGTTTGTTTGATACTTGCTTCCTTTTCTTTCTTTTGGCAACATTCTTACTGTGGAAGATTCTAAGCCATGCATTTGAATGTTCATTTTTAGGAACACTAAACATTTACACGTAAAGCTCACTTAATGTTTATTTTACCAGTAGAGGAACAACATTTAGTGGAGTTTTACACCCCTTTGAGGTCTTATAATGCCATTTCTGGTAAGTGATTCAATTTGAGTTCAGAACCACTGACAGAGAGTATATGGTTTTTGCATGCTGCTTTGCTCCTGTGAAAGGCACTAGGACTGGAGGTGTTATTGTACATGACGATG